TTCTTTCATTCATATTTTGTTTTCTTCCCATATTTGACTTTCAGAGCTTGACCGGGCAGAGACAAACTAAAGAAAATACATAAAGTTGGAAGCCAGACTACTATGAGACACTTTGTATTAAATGGGCTTTTTACCCCAAGGACATTTTTTGGTTATTTTCAATCTCTATTACAAAGCATAAAGGATGAGGTCAGGCATTGTAATAAGTGGAAGGATTTATCATAGCAAGTCCACTCATACATCAGAAAGGCAAAAGTAATTGGCAAACGTGCCCAATATTGTCCTTGTCCTGGACCTTAGCTGGGAGAAAATTCTTAGAGCAATACCGCCATCTGCTGCGAGAAGAAATAAACAACCACAGCAGCAAGAAAAAGTGGGAGGTATAGTGATGCCTCAAAGTAAAAGCAACACATTATGGAGGGAGCCTTTTAAACACTGCACTGAAACACGTATAGAAAAAAATATGATGCAGATTTGATGATTACCTTTAAGAAGTATTTAAGACAAAGCAAAAGTTGCTCTTAACTAGTGCCAAGTGATAACAGTAAATTAGGAGATGCACTTTTTTTTGTGACCAACAGTTGTGGTGAAAATTCAACTTGTACTAAACAAGCTGGAAGGCTGGACACAGTTGTTTCAAAGACATCATGATGTCTAAAATCAGTTAAAACTAGGGCTGCATTTTTTTGGTCAATTAATCTGTTGATTACTTTCTTGGTCAATTGGTTAGTTGTTTGGTCTAGAAAATGTCAGAAAGTAGTCGATCAGAGTTTCTCTAAGTCCAAGATGAAGTCCTCACGTCTTGCTTTGTCCACAACCCACATATGTTCAGTTTACTGTCATAGAGGTGTAAAGAAACCAGAAAGCTGGAATTGAATTAGAATTGAAATTACTAACACCGATTAATCGATTATCAAAGGAGTTGGCGATTGACTTAATATTAGTCAACCAATCAATAAATAAAAAATATATAACCGATAAGATGAAGATGAAGTTCATTTAGGTGCTCTGTGAATGTTATGTTCATTTTTAAATAAGTAATCAAGAACAAATCAAGGTACCTGAGACAATCCAACTTTAGCAGATTGCTACCATGAACTCATGTTTTCCTCAACAAGACTAATCCATTACCAAAGGAGACGCCGAATAATCTAATGGTTTTTATTTGCTATTTACTAAACACACTCAAACACAGACCTAACAACACAACATGGAACACCTCTGAAAGGGCTTTGATATCAGAAATACATACTGATAACAGTGTTTCCAGGAGCGACAAAAATGATCTGAGCCAATGTTGCTTTATGACAGCTTATTGCTGACACCTCATTAAGCCCCATGTCAGAGGCATCACACATTTACAATTAGCAATGCCACATCATTTGAGTCACATCCTCAAAAGTGGATTGTGTTTTGTGAGACACAGCAGACGTCTGCAGACCCCCGCCTTCCCTGCTGGGACGGACCAAGCGCGGCCCTTTGAGGATGGTGGCTCTGTTTACCCGATAGATTTCATTAAATTAAGCTTAAGTTGGGCCTCTTCTTTGCTTGATCAAAGCCGCTGCTAAGAGCCATGCCATCCCTGCTTCCCCTGACCAGGACAAGACGACTCCATCAAATAGGATTTTCATTGTTCTTTTTATTTATTTTTTTTCACACTGACTTTTTTTTCGGTCAAGCTGGCATCCCCTTTAGGTGCTGCAATGCCTGTTTGTCACGACCCAGCACCTTTAAGACCCCCACTGTCCCTTCTATTATCGCAATGAAGCTGCCAGCCGGGCCAACAAAGCTACATCTCATATATACACCTTTGGGATGCCCGTTTGATAAGTTGTCTTCCTGGATGAAATGGCTGGGTTACTGAGGTCGACTCAGGCCCTGTCTGGAAAGGAGCAGGAATGAGGTCTCAAGCTGGCACACCGGTGGTAGGAAGACTTCAAACCACGGGTGAATGGGAGGATGAGAGAGCAGGTTAAGGGGGGAGACACCCGTGGGAGGCCGGTAGGGGGTGGGGTTGAGGGGGGAGATCGGGTAGTGAGGGAGTGGAAAGGCCTTGATATCCACGGAAAGCACAACAAAGCCAGAGCTTTTTACATTAAAAAGAAAGGAGATTGCCTTTTTTCCACTAGACGCCTTTCGAGCCGAGTGTCATGTCCTCCCTGGGCCTGCAGGAAGTGAGAGGCTGAGCTCGGCTATAGCATTTGGCACATCTGAGGCACATCTGAGGGGGCTGAAGTTCTTGCCTTCTGAACACTTTATCAGATTTACAGGAGACCAGATGTACTAGATGTTACCGTGTGAGGTGGGCGATCCTGGTTTAAATGCATGCTGATCTGACCACGCCACACACAGAGGTGTAAAAATGAAAATTACTGTTCAACTGGGGAGTCACAGTTACAAGCAGGGCAATGTTCTTTCACTCTATCCACTAGGACTATCCTACTGCTACCTTCTGCTTTGCATGTCAGGACTGTGGGCCTGGACACGTAACTATGCTGTAAAAATTTTTGAATGCATTTTGTTTTATACAGTGGACAGACTGATTTAAACTTTTTCCAGGTTAAAAAAAAAAACAAACAATTTTCCCACACGTGCCCCCAAAAACAGGGACACAAATGAAAGTGATGAAAATTTTGCACCAATACCAGCCACAGTAGGTGTTAACTGCTTGATGATTAAGCACGGTAAGTGTGGGGAGAAGAAAAGTTAAAGATTAACCGTCAGCCAATTAAATGCCCATGGCGAGGAAAGTAAACTGTCGTGGCTCGGAGATCTCCTCCTGTGATCTCAGTCAGCACATCGCCGTGGTGTTCCCACAGATCACTAGCACATGATATCTCCATCTAAATGGGTTGTTTATGCATGTTTACTTGTTTGCTCTGCAATTGGAACAGTGATGGATTGGGGGGGAAATGCTGTTATATTCACATATTTAATTCAATTCAGATTAAAAATGTTTGCAGTGAATGATATTAGGCATGAAGCAGATGTTTGAGATACTGATGAGGGTGAAATATGAGCAGGTTTTTGTTTGTCCGTGGTAGGTACATGCATGTTCTATGTAGTATTATACAAAATTAAGATACAAACACTGCATTACAACGTCTGTAAGAAAATTCTAAATATCGAAATAATATCTTATTCAAATGTGATTCTAACAAACTTCTGTCTTTACTTTGAAAACAAGGACTCTAAAATTGTTCACTTTCAATGGTAAGTTTTCGATTCAATTCAATTCGATTCGATTCAATTCGAAATTCAGTAGAACTTTATTTATCCCGAACGAAATTCCTGTGCCAGAGAATGCTTCAAATTACAGTAATACCAAGAACAGTAACCACAATTTTAAGGATTCACAACTAGTAACAACCAGACAAACAGTGGGTTCCCTGGTCAGGGTCACTCACTGGGCCCAGGTGTATAACACTAGAATATTAAATATCTGGCAGAATATACAAATTTAACCATTATTTCCTGAAATCCTTTCTCTCAAGGACATGCAAACCAACAATATATGTTCTATTGAAGTAAAGAAAACTTCATATTTGAGAGGAAAGCTACATCTTCAGTTAGGGCTGGGCAATAAATCGATATTATATCAATATCATGATATGAGACTAGATATCGTATATCATCAGTGTTGTCATTTCCTGGTTTTAAAGGCTAATTACAGTAAAATGATGTAATTTTCAGACCGCTCTAACTGTTGTATTATTCACCTTTACCCACTTAATCATTGTATCCACATTACTGATCATTATTTATCAAATACCTCATTGTGTAAATATTTTTTCAAAGCACCAAAAGTCAACCCTACAATATGGCCACTATATCATAAACAAGATATCTGGTCAAAAATATTGTGATAATTGATTTTCTCTATATCGCCTAGCACTACCTTTAATTGCCAGGTCTCAGTGGTAAAAGAGATTGTTGATCTCAGCGGGACTTCCCTGGTTGAATATGGGTTAAATACAACATAAATTTAATTGAGTTACAGGTTTTGATAAAAGTTTGTTGATTATTTTGCCAAAATCTGAAAGGTAACAAAACTTCACAGAAACCATATTCACAACCAGGTTAAATGCTGCACCTATCCAGCCTTTTGTGAATTAATCTAAAAGTTCTTAAACATCCAATTCAGTATTTACTTTTCCAGCTCATTCTGAGGTTGTGGATTTATTTCACATTGCATTTGACTCATGGAAGGACTCTCAAGCTCTCCAGCTCAAGGTCAGCTGCATTTACACCACGGGTTTATTATCCTGTTGTGAGCACTAGCACCACAAAACTGACAACAGAAAACAAATACAAACAACAGAAACAAATAAAGATATTATTAAAGATACATATTTTTTGCAAGGAAAAGATTTGAATACAAACAATTAAGTAAATACACCTTTTCCAATTTGGGGTAATACGAAAAGCTACAAACGCAACATCAAATAAAATCAAGCAAGCGCTGGAATTACGTTAAATAATTTCTCATTTCTATCATACTATTGATTACGTGAAATACCTTGAGCCATATTGGTAGCCAACAATGTGGACTAAGAGCAAAGGACCCACAAGACTGGGCTGTTCATTAAGCTTTGATAGAGTTTGGAGATCAAGTCGAGACATACAGTGATTTATGAATTACTAAACAAGGCCAGGTTCTGCAGCAACAACACAAACACACACACAAAACCTGTTCTCAATAGGCATCACTTGCAAGTTCAAATACCAACTCTGAATTAACCTCGGTGGATGCACCACTGAGCTTCAGTGTAGGGCTGTTTGTGTGTGTGTGAGATAGTCTGTGTGTTAGGGAGAGAGGGAGTTTGGTTGAGGGGGCAAACTATGGATAGGTGTATGAACCATGGAGGATTTGAGAAGGTGACATGTTGTAACGACAGTATGTCATATGTACTATTCAAGAAGCTTTTCTAAATGTCGATGATGTACATTGTATTTGTAATATTTGAGCTACCATTAAGGAAGATGTAATTGGTACTTACAAAGTCTTTCTCGAGCTTCTCTACCTCCTGCTTGTAGCTCTTCAGTCTGCTGTTGTACATGGCTCGGCTCTGGATGGGGATCTCCCGCACCTCCAGGTCCATCTGCTCCAGCTAAAACCCAAAACCCAAAGGTAAACCAGTTAATTTAACAAACTTAATATAACTTGGGATGCAAAACTGACGGGTTCAGAATTCATTTTGATCCAAATTTACATCATAATGTTAAGGTACCAATGTGGTGAGATGCGCACACTTGAACAGATGCTAATAAATCTAGGCCTCCCCATCCAATAATGATCATTCTGTTACCATCTAGGCATTTCTGTATATGTATTGCTAACTCTTACACAAAGCCGCTCAAGACAGACATTGTGACAACTCTGAAAATATTAAACTTCCTGAAAATGACTAACTTCAGCGGCATTAACTTTAATATGTTCCAATGCTGATTGTAAAAAGAAAAAGCCTCCCGCTCACGTCACTCAGCCGTGATAAAAGTCGCGACGGAGGAAGGCTGTTCTGTAAATAAATACACAATCAAATATGAGCACCCCTTCATTGCAGCGACATGCACAGGCCCAACAATGTCACGGCGAATGAAGTAAAAGTACATTTGATGCATGGCGAGACAGGTCTCTCTGTGGCGGGTTTGGAGGAAACTAATCACTGTGACATAACAAGACAACTGCAACAACAATTTGTCTCTGTCAGGTGACTTTGCTCATTTTTAAACAGCAACATGAAGACTCCCACCTCAAGATAATGGCTTGAAATGTGTCATAGGGGTGTCACTTAAAAGCAGATTACTGGAAAGTAATCATGTGAGGAGGAAGCCTCCTTTCCGCCATGTGAAGTGCGTGTGTGTGTGTGTGTGTGTGTGTGTGTGTGTGTGTGTCTGCATGTCATGTCACCACCAGGATAATACAGGTGCTGTTGTCTGGTGCCAGTGAAAATTGTCCCCTCCCTCTTTCCACAAATTCATTATTTAGGAAATGGGAAGAGGAGAAAATTACTGATCAAAGACATACCAACTCTCTGACTTCTTCAAGCTGTTTGTCGACATTTAGAACCAGCTGTGTCTTCTCCTCTGAAAGAGAAAAAAAAACAGCAACATATTGATCAGCCGACAGAGGAACAGCACTTCATGACAACAACCTAACTCCCCCGCAACGGGGGAAGAGAGGGGGAGAGAGAAAGAAAGACTGGGAGAAAACAACACACGAGGACACATTTGAAGATATATTTACACATTCTCTCTACACGACGAGCCAACATTTGATGTCTCTTAGTTATTGGCGTCTATGAGGCCTTTGTTGGTTTCTGTTGAGGAGCAGTGAGACACCTCGTGCCAACTCAAAGGGAAGGGGGGTGTCAGCTTTGCTCACTTGCCAGAAGTATGAGTCCCACTCAGAATGACTAACGCGCCGTTCTGCTCCTCACCCTGTGGCTGCTCTTCCACATTACCCATTGAAACTCATTACAACTTGCGAGAGTTCCAAAGACGCATGTAAAGCACAGTACATCCCTTCGTTATTTAAGGCAGCAACACTACCACTTAATTTCTGCACATATAAGAACTGGTCTTTGTTCTGACATTAGCTCTTTGCCATGAAATCCAAGCACATGAAATGTAGAAGTCTGGTGTAGTAGTTTAGCAATCGAGCATCATTAAATGTTTTAAGGAACCACAAACATATTTTAATGGATATAAATTAAGGGAGGAAGTTTGAGCAAAACATCGAAATATATCACATTAGTTTGAGTGCCTCAATTTAAGGCATAGTTACAGATTAATAACCAGGTCACTGTTTTAAGATATATATATCAAGAAAAATAAAATGTACTGGCTACTAGAGTTGCAACAATTAGTCAATTAAATCTATTAGTCAATCAACGGATAATTAACTGGCAACTATTTTGATTTGATCGAATAATCGTCTAAGTAATTTTTTTTAACAAAGAAGAATGAATAGCTTTTAGATTTTTAGTTAGATATAACATCCCATTTAAAGATTTCAAATGAGTTATCGGAAATAACATAAGGCCTGTTTCACTGTTTTCTGACATTTTATTGACACACAATTAATCAAAAAAATCATAGGTGATTAAGTGATGATGAAAATAATCGTTAGCTCCAGCGCTACTGGTAACAAGCTCTTAAAATATCTAAATTTCCTGGCTTTAAATCATATTCTTGTGAATAAATTTTGTTGTATATATCCAAAATCCACTCAACAAGGAATGAGATATTGAAACCATGGATAGGCCTTTTTCACAGCAGACATTTTAACTCATAGCAGGAAAAGTACAAGTGCTACTAATAACCAGTGTTGTTGTACTCGAGATCAGTCTCAGGACCACTTTTTCAAGGTCTTGGTCTCATCTCTAACTTCACCGCATACTCTGTTTTGTCTCGGTCTCAGAAAAAGAGGACAGAGGATTTTATCTTAAGACCAGTCAAGACCAGAACTGCAGGGTCTGTGTAAAAAAGGAGTGTTGAATAATGATGGCTCAGTTGATTTCAACACTTAATGTTTAATTTTGTTTGCTCAGGTAAAACAAAGTCAAATTCCCCACACATAAAATTCAACTCTGCAATGCCTTTTGAAGATTTAATCAAATTATTCCGATGGTACACTGATAAATACACACATATGTGGACTGCCTACTGTTTGCATGTTCCACATTTTATTTTAAGTGTATCATGCAGTGTGGTACTCGCACTGGTCTAGTTTTGGTTTTGACTTGGTCTCAATGTCTCAAAGTCCCAGTCTTGTCTTGATATTAGTACACTCTTTTCTTGTTCATGACATGATCTCTGTTTAGGTGGTCCTGACTCCTGACTACAACACTGCTAGTGACATGAGCGATGACTCAGTTCCCAGTGTCTCAGTAAGACATGACTGTCGGCGTATGTCCCAAATTCATACTATATAATGACTGTATACATACAAATCTGCATGTTAAACTGATATAGTTGTATACCAAATCAATATACATACCATTTTATTCGAACAGAAAATTTATGCAACACATCAGCATTGGATGTCAATCAAACTGCAACATTGGAATACCACTACTAATGAAACCTCACAAATACAAAGCTAAGTTTCAACTGCAAACAGCTCCTCCATTTCTTCTTCTCCAAAAAAGACCACATTTACTATGAACACTGTGTGATTTAAGTATTTTTCATTGTGTCACTTTTACAGTGTGAAAACTGTAGTATGGATTGAAGAAATGCTAAGTCTGCCAGAATACCAGGTCCCTCAAACCAAAGCAGCAAAGTGGAATTCAGCTGTCATTCACACCTGTGCTTTTCAATGTGACATGTCAAAATGTCTTTATAAAGAGGCTTATTGGGCCTCTGAGTCCTAATGCCAAGACTCCCAAAACGTTGCATTATTTGTGCCAACATTTTACTCAGGAGTGTTTGAGTATTAGTCACCATCTAAAGTTCATCTAGTCACTACTTTCAGGCCAAATCATCACAACTTAGATCACATGAAAATGTGTAATCAGTCATGCACGAAAATAGATATAGACAGAGGCATCCACTTCTCCTCTAAGCCTTCTTTTTGCAAGAGTCCTTGAAGTGTAAACCTGAACCAAACATTGTTCTAAGCACACCTGAAGCTACAAATCTTAGACTTTAACAAACACAGAGAAGATAGTACTGTCTGGTAAAAACAAACAATGAAATTTAAGCAGATTTAGATAATGATGTTTGGCAGGGGAAAAAAGAAACTATAGAAAGCACTTAACATCTTTGAAAATCTATACTTAGTAAATCAGTTTTGTCATCTTTTTGAGTATCAGCATCAGTATTCCACAATAAAAGCCAACAAAAAGAAAAGCAGAGTAGGACCAATCTCAATTTTCTCTCTCAAAATCAGTCAGTCAGAAAATATAAATTCAACTCAAATATTTATTTTAAATCTACTCCATTTTAGAAACATTCTTAAAAGATCATTAAAAATATTTTCGTCATCAAATAAATCAAGAATCGTGAGTAGAACCTTTAAAATGTTAAATATTTGACATCATTTTAAATAATTGAAATAGAAAGTCAACAAAACTCCAAGCTTCAAAGCAAATCACAAGGCCATCAGTTGTGGGACTGTGATATCATAAAGAATCCAGGCCAAGATCTTCATTTCTCAGGCACCATGGGCCAACATTACCTTTTGCCTGTCCTCAAATTCATTTTTAAAACCTGTGTTCAACCTCACAACCTACACAGTAAACAGCCAGAGGCGATTCACTGAAAGGTGAGATGGTGCTTTCTTGCTCGAACTCGGGGCCCGAGCTGGAGGGCTGTGAAATATGTATGGATATTTACCAGGACTACAACCTGCTGACAGATGGATGAGGAGTTTTGTGCACAGAAGTAAGACAAACAAAAAAAGAGGTAAGGCTTGGCAAACATTTTTTTAACAAAAAAATGTTCTGTATTTGGTTTGCAATGATTGACAGGCAATCTCTTGCCATAAACACTCAAAGGTGAAACAAAAATGACATTCATGTTTCATGGAACAAGGCCTAACATTTCATTGTATTCTTATTCAAATGTTCCTTGAACCTCAGGTTTCGGGGGATGGTAACAAATAAATATATAAACACACATTCACTTGATTGTTACATGAATGAAGACAGTCAAGGACATTTTTTCCACACGCCCTGGCCATTATCAGCAATTGTGCACATGTGAAATGGAGAGATACAACAACAGCAATGACAAAAGCCCTTTGTCTGGAGCTATATTAATGTATTAAATAGAGGGCTGTCAAACCACGGGAAATATTCAGCCACTTCAGGAATAAGAGCCAGAAGGACTTAAGAAAAGGAAAGAAGAAAAACCTTAATGAGGAGGAAGGGAATTGAAATTCAACTGTAAACTATTCTGTTGGTGGCAGAAGACATTGAACGACTACTTATGGTTGTAATGTGTTTCCTGGCTTTGTGCATATTCATATGGGCTTACTCTGACACAGTCAACAGATGGCGAGAGGAAGCAATGTGGAATTACACTGTGGAATGGGCTGCCATGAAGCTTCAAAGATGCCAATTCCAAACCAGAAATATTCCGTCAGGCGAGGTTTTGTGAGAGGCAGTGTCCTTTGAAAAGCCAATGAGCAAGTTTGAGATAAATGTTCCAAGTCGGGGCTGGAAGCATTTTTTTAGCATTCAAAACTGACAAAACAAACTAGCAGTTGTCAGTTGTGGACAATGTAATTTTGCCAGCGCCACTGCATTTACAGTAGTCCATCATAGAATATGTACGCCTGATATTCATCATATCTTTTTGGTTTGGTGCAGACGATGTTAACTCAAAAACATGCAGTTTATTTACAGCAAAATACTGCTGAATTTAAAATCCGGCTGTTAAATTAAGATATATTGTGCAGAATGGCTCTTTTCTGTGATTTTATTTTTACATATTTAGAAAAATGTACACTCAATGACTATTCTGCCTCCAATTCCATCTATCAAGGTTATAAGGCAGTACATGCATTGCAAAAACAATGCTTTATCTGTGTAAATAAGGTCTTCATAATCACAAGAACAAAAAGGCTATTGTGCACAATTGCGTGATATTGCCTCAGTAATAATGTCTGTGTTTCACGGCAATTTCGATGCACTAGGGTTAAAGAATGTAAGAATATAGTGTCTGGGTAAAAGTATGCCAGGGCAGCATGCTGACTGAACGACACTAGAAGCTAATTAATAATAAAGTTTGGGTAGGTGAAAAAGGTGTATCAGCGCCACACTGAGGGACACACTTTAAATACTACACTACAATCAACTGCTTGTCTCTTATTTCTGATAAGGAAATACATAAAGATGGACAGAAATTATGCTTTATATAAAAAAAGGAAACTCTTCTCAGCCCTTAGCCTTTTTTCTCTGTGACAGGTTGACGCTTGTGCCCATAGGGTCCTACCTGTGAGTACAGCAGCATCTTTACCCTATTAAAAAAGGACTGTGCCTGTTGCCACCCATTTATAAATCTGCTTAAAATTGTGGACATGGATACACCATTGAGCCCATCTATTAAATCACACAGTGAACCTCAAAGTGTGTGCTTTGGTCAAATTATCGCATTTACTACTTGACAAATAGCCTAAAGGAACTCTGAGTGGGACTCAACATGTGTCACAAGGTTGCAAGTTCAAATCAGACTGAACATCTCTGCTGCACTAGATATGTAATGACAGTCATTAAACAAGAAATTGATTGCAGAGTAGTTTGGTAATGAGCATGTATCTGTCCAATCACACAACCCAAAACACTTGTTAATCTCCTGTACTTGACATCCACTAGGAAAATTAATTTACAGTGTGAGCATACTGTTTTCCAGCCTTTGCAAAGTATGCCAGCATGCTGTGCATGAGGTCCAGCCATGTGACTACAGAACCTAAATTGGCCTTGTGAGTGTTATCCATGTGAATCAAATAAAATCTAATAAAAGGAAACAACAAATATAGACTTGAACTGCGTTTGAACACTTGAATGACCATTTGGCTGACACAGAATGTTTGATAATGTCATTTGCACATCTGTTTTTCTATCCATTTTCCATACACACTTATTTAATTTTGGTCATGTGAACTAGTCTAGCATCTTCTGGGCAGATGGCAGTCCTTTGCAAAAGTTACACAGGAACTCTATCACACCTATGGACAATTAATTGTGACAAATTCACCTGACCTGTGCGTCTCTGGAGTGTTGAAAGAAACAAATACACACACGTCTGACAATCAAATCCAGGTCTGACCTCTTGTTGTAAGATGACAGCACTGCTACCCTTTGTTTGATAATGTGTCATGGTAGTTAGCTTTATTTTGGTGCATAAAACGGGGACAGCTGCTGTCATGTTGATTTAAAAATTAAATCTCCATGGAAAGAGGCTGTGTTGAGTGTGCCACATGAAATCACTGTCACCATTGAAAACTCATTTCCTATCCATTCATATCTATGATCTAAAACAATATTCAGAAACTATAATAAAAGCGGTTAAATGCGTCTGTCCTCCTCTTAACCAGCTGCCATTTATAGAGGCAGTGTTCTAGAGAAACACTAATACCACATATACCGGAAAACATACCATGTTATTTGCCAGTGAGCTCAGTGATGCACATCATCACACTGGCTAAATTCATTAGAGCCAGCAACACGTGATTCGTCCTTTTTACATAAGAGTAAAGAAAATACTCGACTAGCGTGTCACCTTCTACTCCTCTCACATCTTTTACCAGACGAGAATATCGTAAAATGGTGAAATAACGCCACACTCCTGTAGGCTACACTTGTTACCGTTAGCTATCCGTCTCAGCTGGGAAATACCTGCTAGCTGTTAGCTAGCTTCAGCTCAGCGGTTCCAGCTAATACATTTAACATACCTCCGCTTAGTTTGGGAATTCTTCCAATTTTGTTCGTTACATCTGCTGTAATGGTCCCAAAGTCCTGCTCGTAGGATTCAAAGTCTGAAGACATTTCGCCGTTTAGGTTTAAAACAGGTAGCTTTCTGGTTGACAGTTAGCTCAGGATAATAACAACAAGTATCGAATGGAGTCTCTTCCGTGAGTCGCGGTGTAATGTGTCCGGTACGGAACATTACTTTATTTTTATTTCTTCCCACACTCAAAATGGTTCAGCCAGTGGATAAAAAATAGAAGTCACGTTTATTTTTGCCAAATATGAATAAATAAATTATTTTACAAGTTTTGTGATGGTTGAGTGATAAACTGCTTAAGTTTAAAAGTGTCTACGTAGGGTTGAGGGTAATAGTTTCTGAGACACCGTGAGGAAGGTTCCCCTCAGAAGAAATTGAAGAAAAAAACCAAGGAAGTGGCCAGGTTGGTAATTTAAAGTGACAGTTTTTTTCTCCATCCATACAAAATGTGCTTATACGTACATCAGTAAGCATTCGTTATGTCTTTAAGATGCGATATTAACCATGTTTCCTTCGTGGACCTTGTGGCTGTAATTCAGCCGGATACGTTTGTCTTGTCAAGCTGGCTAACATGCTAGCTAACTAGCTAATTGCTGTTACGTTAGCCCCGGTGCTAAACAGAATCAAAATGTTTGCCAAATACACAATCTCTCACGTAGTTTATGTGTTTATTTCATGTTTACTGTAGCGGCATCACTTGTCTGGCTTGTGGATACGATGGATAAGGCTTACGCTTGCGTATAATGCTGCAATGCTTTGTTTTTGTATGGATGCGAATTAGCTAGCTTAGTGACATAAGCTTATTAGTTTGGTCGCTGTTGGGAAAATGGTATAGCTGTGGACCCACCCAGTGAGTAATCTGTCTAGAAATACACCATTGCCCACTTTGGTGTGTTGTGTGTTTGCGTTTGGAGTGTTTGCTTTAAAGCTATGGGATAAAAAGCTACTTGTTGAAGTTAGTTATATCCAAAAGTTCCGGATGTTAGTATTGTGATATGGCAGACACCTAAGAGTGAACGCTAAAAAAGAGTTAAGTGTCAGTAATCAGCGTACTATTAAAATGTTACTGTTAAAATAAGAGTTGGAAAAAATATAGCATAAATCCTTCATCTCATTTATGTCATGTACATATTATAAACATACAGTTTAACAGCACCACCAAGTACTGCACAGTCTCTAAAGTGACCACAGAGTTCAATCAACACCTGTCTTAAACACAAAATTGAACATTTTAAGCTTCATGGAGGTAGAATTTATTATAAGGCTGTTATATTTGACTGCATTAGCTTTAGGTGGGTGTGCTTAATAAACTGACAGCTGGATATTTACACCTATCAGCCAAAACATTAAAACCATGGGCTGGTGAAGTGAATAACATTTATCATTTCATTACAATGCAGTGCTCTGCTGGGAAACCTTGGGTGCTAGCATTCATGTGGATGCCACTTGTACCACCCACCCAAACTCTGTTGCAAACCCGGTACCTCCGAATGCACCATGCTATACCATAAAAACTGTTCTGGAATGGCCCGAGAAACGTGACAAAGAGCTCAAGGCATCAACCTGCCTCCTAATTCTCGAGATCCCAATCTGATCGAGCATTTGTGGGACGTACTGTACCTCAGAGGTACCCCCGTTTCACGGTGGGGCCTCATTGGATTGGACTTGGCACTGACCTGTCTAGGCATAGACACAGGACCTCTGACATCCTGCACCAGGCTGCTGCTGGTGGATCCTTTGAGTCCTGTGGGTTGTGAGGTGGAGCACCAGCACGTCCCACAGATGCTCAATCAGATTGGGATCTGGGGAATTTGGAGGCCAGGTGGACGCCTTGTGAGGGGGGGCTTGGCACTGCCATCAGGTAGTGATGTTGCCATGAGGGGGTGTACTTGCTCTGCAATGATGTTTGTTTGGTTGGTTGGTGCGTGTCAAGTGGCATCACTATTCACTTCACCAGCGAGTGGTTTTAATGTTTTGGCTGATGGGTGTATAGTTTGAAACAAACTTGATCACTAGATGTAGATTACTGATGTTTTAAAATGTCTCTCTCTTGCTCTCTTTGTCTTAGATGGGGAATTTGACTCTGTCACAAGGATAGTGTGCACTGAAGATTGGCAGGAGAGGATGCTGCTCTTTGCCAGGGCAAGGAACAGTGGGACACAGAGAGCCCCAGTGACTCAAGACCAGGCCAGTTGCTGGGTACTCAGAAGACGAGGAAAAATATGTGCATCATCTGCACAGCGTATTTTGCAAGATAGCAGACGAAAAAAGTAACACATTGAAGCTGTAAAATACATACTTTTTAGAAACTTAACCAAACTACTAGTACTAACCTTGTGGGGGGGAAAAAAAGATGAATTTCCTGTCAACTTTTGTGACATTTCAGAACCTCCATGAGGTTCGAAGATTGTGCCACTGGGGTCCGGTCATAGCCCTGTCTGTCATTGCTATATGCTCCACCATGGCAATTCTGGACTCCATTATCTGGTACTGGCCGTTAGACACTACGGGAGGCAGCATTAACTTCATCATGCTCCTCAACTGGACTGTTCTCATCCTCTACAACTACTTCAATGCTATGTTTGTTGGACCTGGATACATCCCTCTCGGCTGGAAACCAGTAAGGATCCACCATAAAGATGGCTTATGACACATAGGTGTTTGTTTATGCAGATAGTGTACAGTTGGGGCTATGTCTGCAAAATTACCACATAAAGATGTAAGGTTAAGTGAAGTAATTTAATCATAGGAAAGATGTTACGTCACACATTTAACTTGTTTATCCCCAAACAGGAGACTCCACAGGATACACAGTACCTACAGTACTGCAGAGTGTGCCAAGGGTACAAGGCCCCCAGATCCCACCATTGTCGCAAGTGTAACAGGTAGCTACATTTATTACCACAGTAGGAGAAGGTTTTCTCTCACCTGTGTGAGATGGACTTAAGGGGTAACTTCTGTACTTCAACCTGGGCCCTATTTGCCTATGTTTATGTGTCTAAGTAACTAACGGAAACAACATTTTCTGAAGTTGGTCAAGTTTTGAGTGAGTCCCCCATTAGCTCGGAAAAATAGGGTCCAGGTTGAATAACACTGATGCTACCTTTACAGAAACTAAGTCAGCACAGAGATGGTGCTACTTCAGGTGGAAAATCACTAAGTTATTTGAAGCTGTTGTGCATACACGTGGCTGGTCCATGTTATTTCTGCACAGTCTCTGTTCAGCACTTTAAAGGCTTCACAGAGACACATCACATAATTGATTGTCATATACAGTATGTGATGTTAAATAGATTAACATCATACACCTATGATGTAAATCTATTTTTTTTTAAAGATTCAGTGTGACTTGCTGATGAACTTGTCACTCTGTGTCCTCCCAAACAACCAGTCAACTCCCCCAGCACTCCTCTCCTCCTCTGCCTCCCCACCCACAGGTGCGTGATGAAGATGGACCACCACTGCCCCTGGATCAACAACTGCTGTGGCCACCTGAACCACGCCTACTTCACCAGCTTCTTGCTGCTGGCTCCACTGGGCTGCTCACACGCTGCCATCATCTTCATTATGACCATGTACACGCAGCTCTATGAAAGGGTCAGTTGTCTCCTTACCCCATTACATCATGCTTTTGCTGGCCTGTTACCTTATTAATTTTATCATGTGATACTGATTTTACCATACATGTCAAGCTGTTTTTTTTTTCTCACTGCAGATATCATTTGGCTGGAGCACTGTAAAGATCGACATGAGTGCTGTGCGTCAATTCCAGCCCCTCATGCCATTCAGTGTGCCCGCCTTTGCTGCCACACTCTTTGCCTTAGGTTTGGCACTGGGCACTACTATTGCAGTTGGCATGCTTTTCTTCATACAGGTAAGTTTGTCATTGGGGTTTACAATTAACACATGCTCTTGGTTATGGAATGTGATACTTAACATGGTCATGTCAGCATTAACCTTGCAAAGCCAAACTTATTAAAGATACACTATGCAGGAGTTTCCTTAAAAGTAACGTAAGGTTATGACCCACTAGAAGTCTGTGATAGTGTATTTTTCTGAGGAGACTATGCCCTCTGTCTGTATTTTCTTATTTTTGCTACTTGAGGCATTTGTGGGCATGTACCCCCAAACTGCTATGGTGAGGCTGGGGCTAAACGCCAAACCAGAGTGATATTTCACTTTTGCTGGTGAGCTTGTTTACGAACAGTAGCCAACAATCCTGCATAGTATATCTTTAAGGAAAATATAAGTTGACTCCGATATTGAAATAGTCTCTCCTTTTTCAGATGAAAGTCATCCTTAGAAATAAGACCTCGATTGAGTCCTGGATCGAGGAAAAGGTCAGCATGTCTCTTTGATTTCCAGTGTTTGTTTTGTGGTGACATTTTGTGATGCAAGTGTTATTTAAGTAGCATGACTTTGTGTATTTCTCATTGTTTGATCTACAAACAATAATGTAGGATGTCAAAATAACTAACATGTTTTCAACACTTAACTGTCAAAGTTGTTTAAATTAAAAGTGTCTTTTTTATGACTAATGCACACATGTTCCAGGATCATCTGTTCGTACAATACAGCACGCCCTTTATCGAAACTTGACACCACCCCACCCACACAATCCCATTGACACACGCAACCATTCTCTGTGTGTTTTTTCACCAGGCCAAAGACAGAATACAGCACTACCAAACAGGGGAGGACTTCATCTTCCCCTACGACCTCGGCACCCGCTGGCTGAACTTCAAGCAAGTCTTTACATGGTCAGGGACGCCCAAGGGTGACGGCATTGTATGGCCAGTCCATCCCAAGTGTCACCAGCACACCTTAACTGTAGGTTCAGTGTTTTGTCGAGTTGAGTTATGTGTGTAATGCTGTTCTAGAGTTGTCTGTTCAGACAATTTATCTTCAAGTTATCTTTAACTTGTAGAGTGTATAAAATGAGTTCAGGCAGTTGTTATTGTAGTACGTCCTACTCTTGATACATTTCCTGTTTAATGGTGAGATAGAAGTTATTTTGTCGTAATATAGTGACATTAATTGTCTTGGTCCTCTTTAAATAGATTGAGCAACTGAAGCAGAAAGCTGACAAACGAGTGAGAAGTGTAAGTACCTGTCATATCCGTTTT